CACATACATACATTATAACACAATATATAGTATATAGTATATAGTATATAGTATATAGTACATATGTACTATAGTGTATGATCTTAGATAATAATTAAGATTAGGACAAGAATTTAGAATTTCTGAAAAATATGTAAAATCAGGAAAATATTTTATCAAGTTGAAAATTTATTTTCCAGTTTTGCAAAATTTCTGAAATTTGAAAATTCTTGTCCTAATTTATTTTTGACATTATCAAGAGTTCAATAGCACATACATACATACATACATACATACATACATACATACATACATACATACATCATATACACAATATATAGTATATAGTATATAGTATATAGTATATAGTATATAGCACATATGTACTATAGTGTATGATCTAAGATAATGATTGAATTAGGACAAGAATTTAGAATTTCAAAAAAAAATGTAAAATCAGGAAAATATTTTTCTCAAGTTGAAAATTTATTTTTCAATTTTGCAAAATTTCTGAAATTTGAAAATTCTTGTCCTAATTTATTTTTGATATCAAGAGTTCCAATGCACATACATAGATCATGTACATCACATATAACATTAGATATATATGTACTATAGTGTATGATCTAAGATAATGATTGAATTAGGACAAGAATTTTGAATTTCTGGAAAAAATGTAAAATCAGGAAAATATTTTTCTCAAGTTGAAAATTTATTTTTCAATTTTGCAAAATTTCAGAAATATGAAAATTCTTGTCCTAATTTATTTTTGTTATAATCAAGAGTTCATTAACACATTCAAAAGGTTGGCGCAGCTCTTCGAGTGCAAGCGACCAAGGCTGCTTCCAGCGAAGCTGCTCCTCTATGTTTTGCATGCAAAAAATAGGGAGCGCTGATATAATCAATAGGAAAACAAATATATAATATGTTTGCTCAAGCCACTCCGTGGGTACGCTCGTTAGTATATTGAATATTGTACAATAATTATCAGCAGTATAGTGCATAAAAATAAAAAAAGAGAATGAATGTAATCAATTAAAAAGCATGATGTTGGCATATATATTAAGAAATGAAAAAACAATTAAACCATTTAATTGTTGTCGCCCAATGATATATGAAAAAATATATGTAAAAGCTTGGGGTTTTATGTGGCTACGAGTAGCTCTATGTTGCTTTTATTTGCTCCTTTTGACAAAAGGAGCTAAACTGGACAAAATTGCAACGGAATTGCAAGATTATAAGAGAATAAGCTTGTGGTTTCATTGCAATTCTGTTGCCTACGGCAAGCTGAGCGTCCAGTCATGAAAATGCGATTGTAATCTGTAAATGTTACGAGAACACAGTTTAAATCTGATACAAATTTGATTTTATATTTTTTACTAAAGGATTTATGTCTGTGTTTAAAGGTATGGATTTAACCATTTGGTACCAGCAGATTGATTTCATGGAGGTCTTTTAAATTTTAGCATTGCACTGCTGCGGTTTTTATCGAATCATTGCAAGACACTCGCCGTCGAGGAATGTATAATTAACAAATATATATTAACACTACTAAATTTCAGATTTAACTTAAAAGAAAAATAATCACAAAATCATCAAGAAATATATATGGTTAGCATGTTTCAACAGGGATAGGCCTTCGGCCCACGCACTTACGTGCGTTACCGCTGTTTATTCTGTTATTTCTGTGTTATGATACGCTCCATTATACAGTTCAGGACGACTGAATACTTGTAATCAAGGGTTTGCGAGTGTAATAGGAATAACAAGTGTAGCACAAGTTGCAATGGAATAGATGAGCACTGCGCGCTCATCATAGCATTCGCTTTGCTCATGCTATACCGCCGTTTTACATTGTGCAATTTATGCACCGCGCTGCAGCATTAATTTACATTGATAAGGCAATTAATATTTATTGGATATTATTTTAATTGAAATAATATTTATTGTATGGGTAATTAATATTTATTGAACATAATCTTAATAGAAATTTTGTCATTGTGTTTTCAAGTGTTTTAATTTGGATATTATTAGCATTGTACTGCAATAGGAATATATTTTAATTTTAGTAGTGTAATAGATTTATTGTTGTATTGTACGCAGGAATCATCGTTTTTACGTACAGAGTCATATAATTGGACAAAAAAATATAAAAAAAGTATGAAATTATTAATCAAGGATTTCTAAATCAATGAATTGTTTTTGTAGAGGAGTATCAGACTGTTGAAATAAGTTATCATCATATTCAATACACGCTTGTGGAATAAGATCATCGGATTTGTGTTTATAGATGTCATCAAGAAGATCGAATTCATGATCACAAACTGTAAGATGCAAAGTCATTAAATGAGTGTTGAGTATTAATCCACAATGGCATTGAAAGATGAATGAATCATAAACATAGACGAGTGGATCCTTTGGATCAAAATGGAGATTAGGGATATGCGCATGTGAAGGTTTAGCCTTGATGTCACGACATGGTGTGAAAGAATGTTTAGTAGTTTTTTGATGAATATGAAGCAGCTGTCGAGTAAGAAGGAGACCACATTCACAAGAATAAAGGAATGTATCAAGTTTAGTGCCATAAATATGAATATCAAAATCGTAATCATTATTTGCATGCTTAGCAGCATTA